GACGTTTATTTCAAGACGAATATGATTTACGTCTTCTCATAATAATCATTCTACTAATAATACTTTTGTTGAATTAAAATTTTTTTATCGAATTCGGAGACATAGGGCCGTTAACTTATCTATTTTCAAGTAATTCTATGGAATTTTCTGTAGTTAAGTTTAACTAATGAATGAAATAAATAAATAAACTATAGCTTAACACAGATACGTTAACAGCCCTTAAAGCGTTAAATGTATTTATTTACAAATATATATATCAAAGGACTTTGCTTTTACGCGGTTTTGGTTCTTTGAAAATGGTTGCCAGATGTTAGAAAATCAAATGCCAATAATCGAGTTCGGAGACGTTTACGTAAAATATTTAACCCACCTTCACCAGATCTGCACCGATAATTGAAGAGATTGGTATGTAGAAGTGCAATACGGTTTTATTTTTCAGAAAAGGGTTGCCACATATTAGAAATTAAATTCAAATCGGCTGTAAGTGTACCAATTCTATTAAGAAAAAAGTGGGACGTAAATCATATTCGTCTTAAAATAAGCGTCCCGAGAGTGGAAAAAAAATAAAAGGCCTATGTAATTATTCTGAGTAGACGTAAATAATATTCGTCTTGAAATAAACGTCCCGAGAGACGAAAAAAAAATAAAAAGCCTATATAATTATTATGAGAAGACGTAAATCATATTCGTCTTGAAATAAGCGTCCCGAGAGACGAAAAAAACATAAAAGGCCTATATAATTGTTATGAGAAGACGTAAATAATATTCGTCTTGAAATAATGTTCCGCGAGAAAGATATTTCTCGTAAATAATTATTATACAAAGACGAAAAAAAAGTTTCTTAAAACAAGGAGACGTTTTTCATCCTAAATATTAGGATAATAATTATTTCCGGCCTCTGTCAGCAATTTCATATGTACATATTATATAACAACGGTGGGCAATCGCGGCTCTTTGAGCCAAATCCGGCTCTTTGCTTAGCAAAGTGCGGCTCTTTCTACTTCCTCTTTGCTTAGGACAGTTTGGCTGCTTTTACTTTTTAAAATACACTTTTTTTTTCTTTGCTGGACATTCTTCTCCATTGTGTTTTTATTTTATTCTTATTATATACACATACGCAAATTGAGATCGGAACATTACTCCAATTGGAGAGTGGAAATTGGCTTTCTGACTTAATGTTCTTTATCGATATGATGGAACATTTCCAAAACTTGAATTTGTCTCTACAAGGAGAGAATAAAAATGTTTTTGATTTGTCGCAAAATATTTTATGTTTTGAAACTAAACTACGTCTTTTTATTCATGATCTCCAAAAAGTAATACCTATATCATCATTTTCCATGGCTAGAAAAAATATTACCAAATGGAAGCCTTAGGTATCTATATCGGCCCCATGGTGTTGAAAATCTTAGATAATTTGATGTCCTTTCAGACACTTTTATTTGCCAGAGTCCCTTTTGGCAGTCCAATTTTGTAAAAAGCTCACTACCTGAAACTTTTGCTGCAATCTCTTCGACGGTCTTCATTGGAAAATGACGGCGCCTTATATTCTTGTTTAACTCCGTAGGGTCCATACCAGGGTTGTTACGAATATTCGCATTCGCAATAACCAATGCGGAGCTTTTTCGAATGCGAATGTTGTGCAAGTGCACCGATAAAACGTATATCTGGCAAACAAAATGACAATTTGTAGGTAATATTTTTTGCCTTTGGTCGTGGCGAACTTTGATAAAAATGTCTTTAAACATATTATTTCTTAAGCTATATAACCGAGCTATCAATGGGCAGTCATACAAGTTCCCACTTCTACTTGACCTTTGACGTACGTCAAAGAGAACATAGTCCTTTTAATAATATTTTATCCCCGTTTTCTGTCCTTTAAATACCTGAATTTTGATTTGCTTTTGATGTTACACACCGTCACCTTAATTCACAAAGGCCCTAACTAGCAAATTTGTTATTTTACAGGAAAGCAAACAGCATTACAAAAATCAAATCACTCATACGGATAGGGCATTTTAAAAAGTGGCATAACTCCGTTGGTGTTGGTACTAACACTTTCAAATTTTAATATACTGTGATTCCAGTATTTTAATATCCTACCTAAAGCCGTGAGCGCAGTTTCGCAAAAAGTGTTGGTTATTGCCTTTGTGAATTAAAGTAACGATATATTCGTTTTGATCATCTCAAATAGGGCTCTCTGGGAAATTTATTTTTAGCAAAAATTAAAAAACATTTCATAGAGATATACATTGGATCCTTGGCTAAATACTTCTGTGGTAGAACTCTCCCCCTACGTATTCCTTCTTTGCTATTTAAAGTCAAAGAGTAAGCTCCTTCAATAGGGATTTCCAGCAGCAATGGTCAACGTCTGGCTATAAAGAGAAAAGGCTATTGGTCTGACCTTTAATTAGGTAAGAACTACGTAACTATCTGAGACCCTCATCATCTGTGATTCCAATAATTCAAATGCTTATAAAACACGGGGTGTAAAAAATAAAACAATATTTTGATCCGATTCGGCTGACACGACTTTGGAAACAGAATTTTGTTCAAAATTTTCATTCATGCAAAATATTAATTTATTTTCCATATCCACATATTTAGCTCGCTATAAGCACAAATTTTTCAAACCAGTCGCAGAAGAAAGTATTAAAACTCTATTACAAAATCTAAATTCAAAAAAATGCTGATGGCTTTACAGGTTCCCCAAATTCTGAAACAGCCAAAGGAATAAGAATGAAGAATTCTTTTTAAAAACTTTAGAAAAACCTGAGACATATGGTTTGGCATGCAAGCGTTGTTTAAACAAAGATCTCGCCATTATGCTAGTTTCTTCAAGTCAAGATGAAAGTCCGGAGGATACATCCGAAATTTTCGGCCCCGATGCAATTCTCATTACTTTTTATTACATATAATGTTCCAATTTTTAAACTCAAGTACTAAATAAAGTAAAAATTATTAAAAATTACTTTCTTCTCTTCTTACTTAATTTACTTGCCTAATTGTTTCTTAAAAATACTTGACATCCGCGTTCGCATTCGCATTCGCGGATGTTACCTGTTAGACATCCGCATTCGCATCCGCGGATGTCTAAAATTCCACATTCGCAACATTCCTAGTCCATACATATTCTGATTTTGTTTCATTTATTTACTATCATCATGGAGCTTACTGCAGGGGTAGGTTTGCTAATCGGCTCGATCACTTTTAACCTTACCATCTTTTCTAGCTCATTTTTCGTTTTTTTCATGCAGAGCATGTGCAACCCGACGAGTTGGCATTATTTTAAAAATTGGGTTGTCAATGAAATCAATTTTGTATTTAAAATTCTTGCAGCAGCAGAGTTCCTCGCTTACATGAAAGTTATTTTCCTTGGTTCTTATTTGGTTAATGCGTTTCACAAAACCGAATCTCTCGCACCATTTTTGACCTAGGATTGGTTCTAAGTCTTCCCGCACGATTTTACACAATACGAAATTGCTTTTGTTATTAGTTTTGCAAAGGAGTGTTGTTTCACCTACTACTTCAATTGCTTGTTCGTTGTACGCCACCAGTTTTTTAGTTTTGGAGCTGACAATGTTAGCCTTTAAGCGGAGTGCGTCCTGTTTGGAGAGCACATTACCGTCTTCGCCCGTATCAAGCTTCAAATTCAAGCTCTGGTCGCCTATGTTAACAGTGGTGGACTACTTTTCACTGACCTTAGACTTCATGCTTTTTTCAGTTGCCGCGGCAACCCTAAAATCGTCTTCATCCGATTCACTGGTACTGTCTTCACACTGGTTAGTAGCCACTGTATGTACTTTACGCGAGTTCGACCTACGGGTGCGGGATTCTTTTTTTCATTCGCTTTAGTGCTTCTTGATTTGCACATTACCATGTCCCAATCTGCCATATCCATTGCATTCTTTGTTAAATGCTGGGCAACTTCTAGAGCCGTGCATAGTGCCACAGCGACGGCACTTAAATTTTGACTCACTCATTTTAATTGCATTTACGTTTGTGTTGTCCAATTCATGGTTTAACTCTGCTATTTGACGACCAGCTCTTTTAGCTGCTCTGCAGATTATTTTCTCATTTTCAAGGGTCAAGTTCTCTTCCACCCACAATTTTTGCCTAGTCTTTTCCGAGTTGATACCTAAAACAATCTGATCCATGACAAACTCTTCCGTGTTATTGCCATACGCGCAGTGTTTAACCTGTTCGATTAGTTTATGAAGAAAATCTTGGAATGTTTCGTTTGGTTGTTGCTTTAGTCGATGGAATTGGTACCTTTCATAAGTTTTGTTTTTGGGCGGTGCAAAATGTTGTGTTAATGCTTCTTGAATTTTTTTTAGGGCCTTTAATTGCTCTGTTGATAGTCCTAAACTTCGTAGAATCTTGTTGGCGTCTCTACCTAAAGCGGTTTGGAAATTAGCCACTTGTACTTCTGCTCTTTCGTTTTTTATTTTTGCGGCTATAAAATAATTTTCATATTCATCGAGCCAATCTGACCACTCAACTGCCATTTCAATGTCATTATTAACCAACAACGGCTTGGGGGGTTTAATATTTGCCATAGTGATTGGAGCTAACGCGAAGTCGGTCCTGTTATTAGTTTGGTCACCCGATAATCTCACTGCGTTATCGACGCTTTCACTCATAACCCGACGTTTATTGCAATCAGAGAGCGACACACAGTTCGCTATTTATTCTTATTCTTTTGTCGCCGCCTTTGACTTTTTTTCGATTCGAGAGCGGCAGGAAAGTACATAGACACCGTTTCTATGTTTGCTTGAATGCAAAAATTCTTGCGTTTAATATCCCGTTGCACTGCACCGCGTTGATTATTTCGAACGACGGAACTTCGAGTTCTCTGACACCATGTGAGAATGATACGACCGGTATGAGCGACTGTCAGCGCGAGACTGGTTTATTATTAATAAATGTTAGTTATTATATGCTCGCTATATGACAGACTCATCGAAAGTAAGTACTTCAGTACGGAAAACCGCTACAACCTTTGAAGTAGGAGATGGTGGTACTCTTGCTAAAATGACAGAAAGAGTATTTTCAGCAATTTTAATGAAATTACCGTAATACAATCATTGCAGAGAGGCGGCTACTTGATGTCCAGAGGTTCAACGCGTTACAGATTGTATTGTATTGGATACACTGATGGCAGCGAGATCAGGCTGGCCCGAAACCCCACAACAATCATGCTGTATACTTCTCTCGACAACGAATTGACCCATAAAACTGCAGATTGTGTGTGATTATAAGCTACGCATAATGCATGCCTATGTGGGCAGCCCATGATTCAAGGTATTTAAGAAGTCGCATATTGAAAGAACACTGCTCGTTTATTTAATAATAGCCGTCATCGATTCGCCACTTCTCGCTCGCTGTGTTTGAGCTCCGGTCGCTTAAAGAAGAATTTTGCATGTGAAAGCAACAACAAAGTTAGCTAGCACGGATAGACGATAGCGAGTTTGGTTGTACCTCATTGGCTTCGTTCGTTTCGCCACTCGCTAACTTTTGGCGAATCGATGACGGCTAATGAAGAATGGATATCAGGTGATCCAACATATCATTTCACAAAACATGTGATACGCCATAACGCAGCAATTCTACTTTAATGGACAGTGGTCGACAAGCTATTCAACAAAACACAGCCAATACCGCGTTAGAGTACAAAATTGTTTCGGAGCCCTTAGGAAATGTTTTGCCGCTTGAGAGAAATGTGAATTTAAATAAAAGACAGTGAAAGTGAAGTATTTTTTTTTAAATGGGTACTCGTTTGCTGTGTGTTGCATAATGTTTTATCGGAAGATCGCTGTTCTCCCCAATTTCAAGGCAATGAAATAAGTGAAGTACTGCTTTTCCTGCAGCCACGCCCACGCTAAAATGGTAGACGCACCGACGTAAAACCGTACGACCTATCTTATGGGATTCTCGTGTAAACGAAAACTCACCACCGCATGACGGTGACGTTGCTTCTCTCTCTCTCTATCAACAGCAAGAGGCCATAACGTTTATAAGAAATAAAATGAAATATTGCTCTATAATTATTATTGAACAATGGAAAAGTTGTTTTCGTCTCGCGGGACGATTATTTCAAGACGAATATTATTTACGTCTTCTCATAATAATTATATAGACTTTTTATTTTTTTCGTCTCTCGGGACGTTTATTTCATGGCGAATATTATTTACGTCCTCTCATAATAATTATATGGGATTTTTATTTTTTCCGTCTCTCGGGACGTTTATTTCAAGACGAATATTATTTACGTCTTCTCATAATAATTATATGGGCTTTTGTATGTTTTTTCGTCTCTTGGGACGTTTATTTCAAGACGAATATGATTTACGTCTTCTCATAATAATAATATGGGACATTTGTTGAATTAATTTTTTTTATCGAATTGGGAGACATAGGGCCGTTAACTTATCTATTTTCAAGTAATTCTATGGAATTTTCTGTAGTTAAGTTTAACTATGAATGAAATAAATAAACTATAGCTTAACACAGCTACTTCCCTTAAAGCGTTAAATATATTTATTTACAAATATATATATCAAAGGGCTTTGCATTTACGCGGTTTAGGTTGCCAGATATTAGAAAATCAAATGCAAATAATCGAGTTCGGAGACGTTGACGTAAAATATTTAACCCACCGTCACCAAATCTGCACCGAGAATTGAAGAGATTGGTATGTAGAAGTGCAATACGGTTTTATTTTTCAGAAAAGGGTTGCCACATATTAGAAATTAAATTCAAATCGGCTGTAAGTGTACCAATTCTATTAAGAAAAAAGTGGGACGTAAATCATATTCGTCTTGAAATAA